AACCTATATATTGAAATAAACTATATGACAGTCGAAAAAGACTATCAACAAGTAAATTTCAAAGGTTTACGATATATATTTTCAACTAATTAGAAACAAATCGGTCTATATGCCTATCATATAAATCAACCTGCTGTTCTCAACTCTTGCTTTTTAGCAATCGATCAAGTCAAACAATAGAATTATAAATAAATAAATCTGCTTAAAGTAAAATAATGAAAAAATGCAGAATTAATTTCGCTGACGCGTTTTGTGTTATTTATTAAAATATTGAAACACTCATCAGGGCTCTGCATTTATAATTAGAAGCAAAAAAGCAAAAATTAAAACGGAAAGATTAATATGAAAAAATTTAAATAAAATTTAAACAGAATAATGAAAAGAAAAAGGAAAATAGGCACATATTAAGAGATGGTTTTAATCAATATTTGGTAGTAAATCAACTGAAAAACAGATCGACTTATATTTCTATAATTCAAATCACTCTGCTAGTCTCATCTTTTACTTTTCAGCGATCGATTTTCTGTCGAAAATCAAATTAAAATTTAATAAATATAAATAAATATGCTTGAATGAAAATAATAAAAGAAGTGCAGATTATTTTTGCCGACGCGTTTCATGTTATTTATTTTAATAATGAAACATTCTTCAGGGCTCTACATTAGAATTTCTTAAGCATAAGTAAAAAGCAAAACTTTAATATTAAAAATTAAACTAGAAAATTAAAATGAAAATTGAAAAAAGGCCAATTTAATCAAAATCAAAATTAAATTCAGAATGAGAGTTGGAATTGAATACAGTAGAAAGATGTAAGTCAAAAGCGAAACTGAAATAAAACCATAAATTGAATTGAACAAGATCAAATAATTCTGAACGAAGTTCAAACTAAATCACATCAAAACATGTTCTATGATTTGAATATTTAAAACAATGACCTAAATTTTGCTGGGTAACTTAGATAGAAAACAGACCGATCTATATCTCTCTGATACAAATCAATCTGCTAGTCTCAACTCTTGCTTTTCAGCAACCAATGAAGTCGTAATTGATTTGAAAAATTGAATATCCGTGCTTTACGAAATAATAAAAAGAGAATGCAGAGTTTAATTTCGCCGACGCGTTTCATGTTTATTTTATTAAAATAATAAAACACTCATCAGGGCTCTGCATTACAAAAACACAAATTTTAAAACAATTCATATCATACTTAGACGCTAATTATAACTTTAACTACGTTTAAGACACAAATATAACAATAATTATAATGAAAGCTACGCACTGACATGAAAAAACAAAATTAACAACTAATAAAAATTCAAATACATAAAAAGTTAATAAAAATACAAGACTACAAAACTAAGTTTGTTATTGCTGTTGTCGATATATTAGTACGTGTATATGATGGTGAACTTTTAGCTGGATAATATCACTTATTTGTCTCTGAAGATATAAATTATATCACTCATTTGTCTCTGAAGATATCGACACGTTTCGTATTATTTATTAGAATATTGAAACACTCATCAGGCAATTTGATATTGAGTGTACTAATATCACATATTTGTTTTTGAAGATATCATTAAGTATGATATTATCAAGTATACTAATATTACTTATTTGTCTATAAAGATATCGTTCAATTGGAAGAATAATTGATTGATCAATAAATTTTGCTTAATGAAATTAATTAATAACCACCAATTGAAAGAATAATTGATTGATCAATAAATTTTGCTTGATAAAATTCGTTGATAACCACTTCAAGACTATTATAATAATTCTTATATCAATTTACTTAATTATCGCAAGTTCTAATTGAATTAAGCCGCATAGGCCAAATTAATTCAAATCAAAAACGGAACAAATAATAACTTCTTGAATTAATATTGCATGTCTTGGTAAATCGTCTAGTATACTAGTGTTACTTATTGATCTTTCAAGATATCGTTCAATAAGTACATATCTTTGAACCTTTTTTGTATTGTGGCGATATTTGTCATAATTATTAAAAGTTAAAAGTTAAAAGTTAGTGATTAATCATTATACTAATACAATAAAACAAATTATTAATATATTGAATAACTCGACGCTTAGTTGGCTGGTAATTTCTAGTAACTTCACAGCATAATAAACAAATTTAACTATATCTTTATTAATTGATTCGTTAAAATATTTCAATTCATGTTCTAAAAATTTCTGTTAATTCAATCCTATGGTTCATTTTAATATTACCATCTTGAAAGTTTATCTTGCTCTTCAATAAACTATTACGAACTTGAAAGTAATAATTTAGATTGAATTTGTATTTCATCTTCTATTTCTTCAACTGTTCATTTTAATACCTTATTAAATAATAATAATAATATCCACCATATAATTTATCTTGTATAGATTAATTGTCTTTGTAAATTTTTAACATTACGTGTACCAAAAACAGGTAAGACTTCATTAATCGGAGATTCACCAAAATATTCATTCCAGAGGGCATGAAATTTTTTTGGATACGTTCTCATACTTGAACAATAAGTAAAATGGACAAACATTATCTTACCGTAATCCACTGGTATTTTTTCTTTAATAGGTATTTCTATAATTTTTTGACGGATGAAATTATAATTATTAAAATCTAATGGTTGATCAATATTAAATTTTGATAATACATGATTAAATTGTTCATCAATAATTCTATTTGGATATTTAATTAATAATAATGTCATTCGTAATTTTTCACGTTCATTCAAATAAGCTTGAAAAGTTGAACAGTATCTAATAATACGAAGAAACATAGTAAAAATTATATTCTTCTTCATATGTAATGGGTGTACAATATTGAACGGCAAGTAATATGGTTCATAAGACGGCTTTTGATAAACAGCAGTAAGTAACATACCATCACGATTTTCCATATACAAATCAAGAAAAGTCGCAAATGAGTCAATATTAGGGTTTAACTTAATATTTTCATCAAAATTCTTCCATTTGTCGATTTGTTTTAATAAATGTCTGGCGGGCCAGTTGATCACAATAAAGAAACCATCAATATACCGAAAGCAGAGTCCACCGCTATTCTTGATTTGCTTGGCTATTCTTCGTTCGAAGAAAAACATATAACAATTTGCCATAGTTAAAGTTAACGGAGATTCCATAGCTCCACCTCTAATTTGATGATAAAATTGCCATCATAAGAAAAATAATTATTTTGCATCACAAATCGACTTAATCGAATAATAGTTTCTATTTTTAAACTATCCACTTTCTTTAATTTCCAAAAGGGTGTGGGTGTGACAAGCCACCATGACACGTGTTTCGATCTTGCTTAAGGATCTCATCAAATGGCGATAGTTCTATTGAGGGTGGGGTGTGGGTGTATAGAAAGCTACCACGACGCGTTTCGACTCTGCTCAGGAGTCTCATCAGGTGGCTTAGTATCTCTAGTTCGATTCAGAATTTTTTAACAAAAATTCAAAATCAATTCGAGAGGGTGTAAGTTAATCAAATAATTGAAAACAGATTAATCTATATATTTTTTTCTTTGAATAATATAAATTAATCTGCTACTTTCAACTTTTGCTTTTCAGCAACCGATTAAGTCAATTTAAAATTTATTTGTTTTTAATATTGTGCTTGAATTAAATTGAATTAAAAAGATAAATAATGCAGATTTATTTTAACGCCGACGCGTTTCATGTTTATTTATTAAAATATTAAAACACTCTTCAGGGCACTGCATTACAATATAAAGGACAAAAAAGCAAAAATACAATAATTAAGCTAGAGCAAAAGGCAAAAAATTAAACTGGAAATGGTAATGGAAACAGGTTGGGGAAGAAGAAAGGAAATTAAGATATTCTCCAACCAAACCTTGAATCTATTTGTTAAAAAATTATTATTCGAAATTTTTATTTCAAGCTTAAAGTTTCAAATTATTGGAAAAAGTAAAGGATAAAAAAATAAAGAAGGTCTATATGTGTAGTCCTATGGACAGTCGTTGGGTGAGGGTGTGGGTGAGTGGGTGTGGTGGGTGTGTATAGAAATGAATTTCATTTAATAGCACAAGCTAGACTTACGACCGGTTTCGACCTTGCTTAAGGGTCATCATCAGGTAAGTTCGGCTATCAAATTTTAAAGTACTGCTATTCAATCCTAAATCTACAAAATTGAGACAGTTTATTAAAAGTTTCAAAGATAAAACTTTCTCTAAACTATCGTCATTATATTGTAGGGGGGTGTCAATGTGAGTGGTGTGGGTGTGTTTCAGTTAGCACAATAGAAATTTTGTTTTTCAATTGTACTGATAAAATATTATCTAGTGGCATGTATCTGTTTGAAAATGATTCGAATTCAGAAAATTCAAATGAAAAAGAAGATACAAATTTGAAATTCGAAAAGAACTTCGAGAAACTCGTTAATGGGTGTGTTAGAGTTACCACAATACAAATTTTTGTATTTTAGTTATACTGATAGAAATTGTTTTTGCAAGTGGAAAGAGTCTTTGGAGAATGGTGAGTTTGAAAATAATGAAAGTAAATGTAGGAAACGGTGTTGTCGTTGTAGTTAGAATGGCATGCGGTCGTTTTAATGTATTGTGTGTGTGGATGAATGTTTGGTTTGTGATAGGTGTCTCGTGTGAGAACAGTTGTAGTTTTATGGGATGTATTTGTGAAAATATTTTGTTGTTTTTTGGTAGAATTGTGCGAGTGGATTGCAGAAGCTCAAATCAGAAATCGAGCTGGATGAGGTTGCAGGTTAGTTATAATTAGTTGAAGATACGATGGAGAATTAGTAGTTTGTAAATTGGAATAGTTAAGTAAATATGATATGTGAATGGCAATTGTGTAAATAAATGATGTTATGGGAAATGCTGCTACAATTTGGAGTGTAAAAGGGGTCGAATCGGAAGGAATGGTATTTGGCGTAGTTTTTTTATGTTGTTAAGATGTAGTTAGTAGTGGTTTTTGTGACGCGGAGAGATTTGTCTTGGGAAGGAATAGATGACTATAGGTGTGCGGAAGAGTATTGGAGAATGTTCTATCGGCAGATTATTGTTTGTTGGAATGTGAAGTATTCTCTTTGGCCTTTGTTGTTGCGATAGTGTAGATGGGATGCAGGTAGTTTAGTACGACTTGTATTGATTAATGGAAATGGTGAGTCGCGTTATGGAGAAGCAATATGTTAAATGGTTTGTTATTGCTGGTAATTTTAGTGTTTTGTTAGGGGCAATCTGGTAAGTGTTTGAAATATGTGAGTTCGTTTTGGAATGGACTGGTAATTTTATCCGGAAGTGTTGTTGTTTTTTATTTTGTGTTTTAGTGATAATGTTTGTTTATTCTGGATAATGTTTCCGATGTGGCATTGTCGCAGTTCTGATAGCTAATGGAAAGCTAGCGGAGTTAGATTTTTGGAGTATCGATTGATGTTTTGGTTTCAGTCAAGTCGTTGTCTGATAATCTGTATAAATGTTGAGCGAATCTAGGTTGATTTGTCGTGTATTTGGTAGTGATATGGCTGGATTTATGACGAGAATGTCTTGGGTTTGTTCAGTTAAACAGGAAACTAGGAAGTGTGCGTCTAGGATTATACTTATCTATAATGAAACTATATATGAGTATGATATTAGAAAAAGTGCACAAATATATTTCATTAATCTAAGGTTAACTAATTCGCACACAGATTATAAACACTAAAGATTGGCTATTATCTACGAGGTATATAAAGTTGCTTATATTGATTAAATGTTATTTTATAATAGTGACCATTGTAGTTTTAAAAGGTCACTGACTTCATGTCGTGGTTTACATTGATGAATGATTCAAATTAGCACCCCAATGAAGGTTATACGGACGACCGTAACGTTTTTCAGCATCATCACCAAGTGGACAAATCATATTCAATTTAGTTTCACCGTGAATAATGAATAATGTTTCGATAATGTATCGTAGTATCATTGAACAATCATCTGGTACTAAATCAATGTGAAAGAAAAACAGGTATAAATGATAATGATGAGAATGATGATGTGGTTGATAAAGATAGATTTACTTACAAACGGCGATAATTGCTATGTTATACAAATCTAATTTGATATAAGGCCGGTAATGAATGGAAGACGTAGCAAATCGTTCGAAAAATAGACGCTGTTGTTTTAGCTGTCGAAATGAGAAGGCATAGGAAGTTGGTGGTAATGGTACATTATCTAGATAATTGGCCACCCTAAGATTGTCTACGGCAGTAGTTGCTATCACAGCATCCAGATTGGGATCTGTAGTAGAATTTCCTGGACGATTAGCAACATTTTCTGTTGCTGCTTCATCCCAAGGTAGAGGAATAAAACACCAATACATAGGATTGCAATCAAGAAATGAACAAAGTGTTTCTGGACAACGAGCTGAATGTTGATAGAAGCGCATTTGATTAGCCATTTCTTTTCTACAACAATGAATGAAAAAGAAAACAAAGAATATGTAGCATAATCGAAAGAATGATCGAATGTCTTTTATTACCCTCTTTCATTAGGATCGATTTGGGATCCTCGAAATAGAGGACTACTAGTTAATTTTTCATGTATAATTCGATTGCCATGTTCTCGATGATCTGTATATCATAAGAAAAAGAAGAAGAGAAATAAAGGCATGCTCATGATTATCGTAAGAAAATTTATATTTACAAGCCATAGCATGAGCCAATGTTTTTGTTGTTGAATCAATATAATCATAATGACCACATGGACATGTCATGGCATAAATTATATTCGATGTAGTACATGTCTAAATTTTCGTCATAGCCGATCGATATAAAATTCAACATTTAAGGACAACATACGGCTGGACAATTGAGATAGGCAGTATAACCATTGAGAAATCGATGCATTGAACTTGAAGCAAAATTAACAATTGGCCATGGTTGACTTTTCTTGTAAGTATTTAAGGGAAGATAACATTGCCAAAAAATATTATCACATGGAACCAATGAATATCTTGCTTGAGGTTCATCTCTTCCACAAAATAAACCTTCTGTATTAGATGGAGGTTGAGCTCCTCGAAACGAACAAATTTTCATATAGAATGAATCCACTAAAAAATATGAAACATATATGCATCGTATATATATATACATGAAGACTAGCCATCGATTTATAAATAGAATTCGAATACCATAGCCATTTGTTTCGAATTGGGTGTTGGTTCTTTTAGAGCAACATCACTCTTACATAGAACATATCGTCGAAATGATTCATGAAATGCAAGAAGAGTATGACAGATGCTACGAAGTCGTTGTGCATTGAAAGTAATTATTGATTTGCCTACTTGTAATCGTCTAGCAAATTCATTAGCATCTTGTTCAGTTAAACTAAATCTATCGAAATAATTGTACTTATTCATCAGCATCAGTGCATCTGAAGTATAAGCTCCATGTTGACGTCGAGCGAGTTCATGAGATGCAAGATGACTAACTAAAAGACAATGAAATGAAATGATTTATAATCAATTTATATCGAACATATGAACCTGGTACATTAGCCAAAAGTAAACACTCATTTGGACCAACGTATTGTGTTGGAAATATAGGTAAATAAGCATATCGTCTATTATTTTTATCTAATAATGTTCTTGATTGATATTCTTGTTGTTCATTATTAATTAACAAAGAAGTAGCTTGTTCTGCTCGAGTTAAATCAACTTTATTGAAATCCATATGCAATAGAAAATATTTTGAATTTTTGCTATTCTTTCGTATTTTATACCGATTATATTTTCCCTAGACCGAAAGGCTAGGGTCTAGAAACCGTAATTCACCTGTGTCTGTTTGTCCGTCTGCCTGTAACAAGCGCTTGGCACAAATGATCATTCCATGGCACAAATGACCATTTCTATGGTACAAATGACCATTTTTGTGGCAGACAAGACCGTTTTTATGGCACAAAAGACCATTTCCATGGTATAAATGACCATTTCTATGGCACAAACGACCGTTTCTATGGCACAAATGACCATTTTTATGGCACAGAAGACCATTTTTATGGTACAAATGACCATTTCTATGGCACAAATGACCATTTTCATGGCAGAAATGACCATTTTCGTGGTACAAATCAGCATTCTTGTGATACAAAGTGCCATAATCGTGGTGCAAATGACGTTGTCAAGGTACAAAATACCATAGTCGTGGTACAAGTGACCATTGTCATGGTAGAAAGTACCACTAGTCGCAGTAGACGTTGCTGTTGTCATGGTACAAAGTACCATGGGTCGTGGTACAAATGACCATTTTTATAGTGCAAGTGACCGTTGTGATAGTACAAAGTACCATAATCGTGGTACAAGTGACTGTTGCTATAGTGCAAAGTATCGTAAGTCGTGGTAAAACTGACCATTTATTTTGGCATAATTGACCATTCTTGTGGCTCAACTCAGTTTCTACGGTGCAAGCAACCATTTCTATGGCACCATTGATCATTTTTATCTGCGGAATGAGCGTGTCTGTATCACCACTAGCTAGATCCGTATTAGAAATGACCAGTGCTATGGGATAAATAACCATTGCTAGTCCTTAGAATCAACTAACTCATACGCTTTATCATATACATTGGCATCTTGCAATATTTTATGTCAACTGTTTGAATATATCTTTAGTATGTAATATACAACATTTTGCAAATATCAATGATTTGCCCTAAACTCATCATTGAACAGAATTCATTTTTATTAAAAAACATAAGGACATCTATGTCATCATTCCGTCAGCCTAGGGCCCAGTGAATCGACTTTCAATGTCGATGAACCTTACTTGTGATTATTTAAGCTGTTAATATGGAAATATTAATTTTGTTAGTTACAGACTTGTGTAAATATGGGAGGTAATTCCTTTTCTTTTTATATTCACTATATGCACTCTATTTCCTTTAGTAAATTAATCTAGTTCCTTTTTGTTCTGTGATAATCTAGTATTTTGAAATGCTTCTTAAGAATTTCTAGGACATCAGCGTTGTTTTTTCCTAAACTCAGAAAAAAGAAAGCAATGAATTCAGCTAATTAAAAAAAAAGTAATTCCAAGAATTAATTTGGATGAAATGAATTTTATTGACATGCATATATTTCTTTCTCAAGAGCAAATACTAAGCTACTTATATTAACTACCACAAATACATCTTTTGAAAAAAAAAACATCATATATTTGACAAATTCACACTATGACGAACGATAACTTAATCAACTAAAATACTTCTCGCAAATGAATCGCTGGTACCAAATAATTACCATTCATTCTTAAAGGTGTATATCACTATAAAGATTATCACTATCAAATTTCCTTAACAAATTGGATTGATGTAATGATGACAACTGTGCTCATTTCGATACCGCCTCTTTTCATCACAATAAACATCTATGTTTATACAGTGCATTATATACGCACGAATTCAGCAATGTTTACGCTTCGACAACAAATAAGAATCACGCGTGATGTTCTAGTCATCAAGCGTATTGTATGATCGATTGGATTTATAGTTTGATGTGCTTTACCTGCATTTAGTATAATAATAATTATGTATTATTTGTTTGCTTATTTTGGATGGTGAGGAAATCATTTAGCATGGTTGAGCTTTTTTTTATCTTTTACTGATATGACTGTTGTAGACGCATGCTTTTCTCGTCATCTTCGTGTTGTCTCGTTATGAACATCGAATCAAATTCATCATATGGCAGCAGTAATGTTTGTAAACTTAAAATAAGTCGTGTTATTCTATTTCAGCAATAACTACAATGAATTTATTTTTGCTTTTCATAAAAGTTATGGTCCAGTTTTTTTAGGTTTCAATAATTATACATTAAAATAATAAAACGGCTAATCATATATTCTGTTATTATGTGTTTGATGAAGAACGATTACGACTATACTTTTGGACTTTCCAAATGATGCACTCAAAGACTTCTCCTAAAATAAAAATAATAAATAGTTCAACTGAAGGATATTCTGATGCAAATATATATTTTATATTAGTTTATGTTTTTTGTTCTGCAATGTTGAGTACTCTTCGGATCATTGAATGAAGTTATTATAATTACTCTTTTATAAAATGACGCTTGATGATATTTCGACGATAAATTAAGAATAATTAGTTAAATTTTCACTATCATCGACAGTTTTTATTTAGCAGTACTTTAGAGGACGAGTGTTGATGTTCGTATAGAAATAACCTACACTTACACCTGTCCTCATTCAAAACACTACATTAATAAGATAACATAGATATCACGAAACTGAACAACATATAAATATACGAGATGAATGATTTAAAAGTATGCAATCAAATAATTTTAAAGGATCAATGATGAATGAACAATAATTCATCTATATTATTTACCACAATTCATTATGATTAATTTCGTTCGACTTGAGAATTGATCGATTTAGCATTTCGAAGTAATGGATGGATTCGATTAGTTTGGGACAGTTGAAATTGTTCTGTTGCTTGAGAATGATTCATCCATCGTCTCGGAACGATCAATGCAAACAGTTCACGACGAAAACTTGGTGCTGTCAACGTGTAAACATAAAATGTTAACTAAAATCGCAGATTTTAAAATAGAAATCTATATGCAATACAAATTCTTACTGCATTAAATATAAAGGTACCCAAACTGCCTGTTGCTGTTATAGCTAAAGATTCTGCTGCAATACGATATGATGATTTACTTGATGATGGAACGTACTGTGTTACTGTCAAATAAACAAAATTGCTAACAAATGGAAGTGCCGTTGTAATGTATAAAACCACTTGGCCTATAAGCATAGCTGAGAGTTGAAGGTCTCTTTTACATACATGAACCTAGATTACAAAAAGAATAAAGTATATTTCAAGTGATAATATTCGACTTTTTCAACCACAAAAAACAAACCGTCTGAAAGATTATGTGAAAATAGTTTAATCTTTATCAAATGATCTGTCTAGAGAGTTATCAAGGTTTGAATAACCAACTACTCAAAAGACTATTGTAGAGATGAACAAAAGTAAAACCATATAGAATACTTACTTTTTGACGACCAATCCGTTTTGCGTTCTGCTTTAATCGCCATATAATCATTCCACTTAATGTACTCATTAACAAAGCTGGAGTTCCAAAATTGAATAAGAATAAAACTGTAGTATCAATTATTCTTCCTACTGCCGAACTAGGATTACACTGACGTTGTTGAGGAAATGAATCATAAACTATTAATACGTAGATTGATAAACAAGCACAACCGACAATAGTTATTGACATAACTTTAATTGCTACACTTGCTCGACAGAATAATCGTTGTTGAGCTGATTGTGAGCACAATAAAAAACGATCTAGACATGCTAAGACAACACATGCTCGACTTGCCAATTGAGAACCAGTAAGTATATAATAACGAATTTTACAATATGCCGAATTATATGTTAGTGGATTATTGTTGGTAAATGAAGCAAGCATACTAATAAACAGACCCCATGTTAAACAAAATAAATTAGCCCATGAACTTGCATGAAAATAAATAGCACATGAATTTATGCGCATTGAAGGACGAAGAAAAATTGCAATATTTAATATACATCCAATCATACCAAGTGTAAAAAGAATTGGTTGACCAATATGTTGTATCCCAATACGAGCAGCAGTTAGTATAGCTACAGCTGGATCGATGGTTGTTGTCGATATATTGTTATCCATATTAAATTTAATTTATTATCGTACAGATTGAATCTAGCAAAGAAATATCAATGAATATTTGACATAGTTATTAAAAAACTAGATCAGTGTATAAACAGTATAACTGAACTAAAAATCATCTGATAAGAGTGTACTTGATGTAAATTTTACATCCTTACATATATCAGATTTGATTTTTAGATTAAATTGAATATTTGCATTATTATGTAAATAATTACAAGAAAATAGGACAATATATTTTACCTGGTCTAATATTTGACACTATATTGAAATGATGTTGAATGGTAACAATAATATTTTGAAGAAAAAGGAAATTAAAGACTACTACGCAAAATGACAAGTATGACTAGATTGGAAGGAAGGAAAGAAGGAATACTCGTATCGTTGCTAGTGTAGGGTGAAGACCAAAAAATATATGTAAAAAGAAGAAGCAGATTAAAATAATGATTAATTATATATATCTCGTAGGACAGATTGAAATCCAGTTCTGTTTTAAATTGAACTAGGGCAGATTGAAATTTTAATTTTTTCTAGTTGAGATCAAAATTTTGAAGTCAACTAGTTGATATTGAAATGCATTGCGAAGTGAACTAGTTGACTTTAAAATTTTGATCTCAACTAGAAAAAATTAAAATTTTAGCCCGAACTATTCATAGTGGACTAGTTCATAATGAAATATTTTGATCTTAACTAGTTCAGATTGAAACATTAACACAAGAACAAATGAGATTTCTAACACAGGAACAGTAATCTTGAACGAAGAAAAAGGAAAAAACTTAATTAACAATTTTTACATTTGAAACTGTTACCACCATGATATTTAGAACAATATTTTTGATCTTTTTTCTTGCATTGACATCGATTCGAGCTACAATCACCATTACATTTACATGTATCAGCAGATTTAAAATTAGTGTAAATCTGGCACGCTTGTATGAAGCTAATAGATGACAATGAATCGGTGTTGAGAATTCGTGTGTGGGTCTGGGTCTGGGTGGG